AAGGCCTTTGGTCCAGGGAACACCAAAGCCCTCATGTCTCTCAGCAGATAGGAAGAGCAGCGGGGAGGGGGAAGTCAAGAGTGAGATGTACCCTTCCAATTTCTCCTTCCTTATTCCCCTTGGGACCTCTGGGTTCCTCCTCATGGCACTTCCCCCAAAGTAAGCTGGTGCGTGTGGCTGGTGGGAAACCCTGTCTGTGAACCCTGCACCTCAGGTCCCCACAGCAGGGCCCCCAAGAGGCCTTGAGGGCCCTCATACAAGGGATGCCTGGAGAGTGGCCCACCAGCCACTGCCTCCTTCAGTCTCCCTATCCCCTCAGAGCCCTACTCAGGGTTCCCTCCCTGGCCTGGGCTACCGGCCCCCGGTCCATGAGGTCCCTCAGAGGCTGGTGACCAGCTGCATCTGCCCATCCCCATCAGGCCCTGGCCCCTCAAGGCCTGGGGCTGCCAAATAGCCTTCGTGGCTGGGCCGCCGCACCTGGTAGTAGCCCTGCAGGGGGTTTCGGGCCACCAAGGCTGGTGGGCGCGAGGTGTAGTAGATTTCAGGGGGGACAGGGGGCGCGGGTGGGGGTGGGGGCAGGGCCTCACTGGGCCCCTCAGGGCTGCTGTCCGGGTAGGAGGGCGAGTCCCGAAGGTTGGCCCCACTGGCATAGAGGGAGTCCCGGCCCGGAGGGGAGGAGAGGGGCCGGCTGGTGGCCCCGTCCTCTGCTGTGCAGCTCTCCGACTCGTCCAGATCGCTCTGGTACAGCACCGACTGGGCCCGGGGCAGCAGCAGTGGCTCCTCCAGGGCCTTGTAGAGAAGTTCAATCTCCGCCCGGTCAGCACCCCCGGGCCCACCAGCCTCTTCCTCACTGCCACCCCCCGGCACAGGTGGCACCGGGGGCTCAGGTGGTGGAGGGCCTTTGGCCCCGCTGCTGCCACCCCGCAGGTTGTTGTGCACCAGCTCTGAGATGATCATCTTCTCAAAGGCAGCAGCATCTGCCAGGTTCCGGCCTCGGGGTGGCTCAGGTGCCCCATCCCCTGGAGGGAAATCCCCACTTCGCAAGGAGTAACTGTTGTTGAAGTTGCCGTTGAGGGGCAGTGTGTCCATGCCGCAGGCTTCCCGGCCTCCCAAGGGGTGCTCTGCAGGCAGAAGGGGGCTGCTCAGGGAGGGGCAGGCATTGGGAAGGATCCAGGCCATGTGAGGTGGGGCTGCCTGGGTTTACCCCTGCCCCTGGGGTCTTCCATTCCCTCTCTTCCTCATTGGCAGTGGGGACACCCATCATGCAGGTTGGTGGAAGAGGGGGTGGAGACCAGTTTTCCCAGGTTTCCCTCCCAGCCAGGGGCTCAGAATCTTAGCGGTGAGAAGACTGGCGTGAGGAGATCTTTTCACACCGCTAAGATTCTGAGCCCCCAGCTGGGAGGGAAACCTGTGCTTGACCCTCATCTTCATTCCCCACCTGAAGCCCAAATACACCACCAACCAGCTGCCAAACCAGAGACTGCATGCATATGCTTGTGGGTGTGTGTTGGGGCGAGACGGGGACGCACTCTATGAGTTCTCTTCCCTAAATAAGTGAGGCCATCCAAGGAGGCCACTGTCTCGTTCCCCTCCCAGCCTCGGAAATGTTACCAGGAAAGTCTCACTTACTGGGTTCCCGGTAGCTCCCTGCAGGTGCCAGGCCAGGAGGGAAAAGAAAGAAGGTGAATGGGCTTGGAATGCTGAGTCCAGGCTCCAGTTCAGGAGGCACGAGGGCACCCCAAGTGAAAACCCCTCAGGATGCAGACCCCACACTCCCTGACCTGGGCTGTTGCCCTCTCCCAGCACTAGAGTATTCTTACCTGGGGAGTTGAAGACAGGGGGTGAGGAGGGATTGAAGCCCACTGACTCGGCGATGAGGGTGTTGTAGGGGCTAGTGCCACCACGAGGCTGGAGCACGGGGTTGGTCAGCAGGTGGTTCCCCATGGTACCTGCCCAGGAGGTCAGAAGTAACAGGGCAGCTTGGAGACACAGGCCAGGAATCTCAAGGGACTGGAGCCAGGGGCGAGGGATGCTGTCTCACCTCGGTTCAGGGTGGGGGTACTGTTGATGTCACCCGCCATGAAGGAAGATTCTGTCTGTTTCCTCACGGTGTCATTCCACATCCTCCGGATTCGGCTCTGGGGACACAGCCCAGACATAAGGGGACCCTCAAGCTGCCCACCCTCCAGAAACTTTCTGAGACCACTCGCCTGATGACCACCACCAAGGACCTGGGCAAAGCACTGCCCCGCCTCTGGGCTCCTGGGTCTAACACTCAGCCCAGGGAGCCTGCCTAGTGCCCGGCCCAGCTCAGATACCTGGGTCCCTGTGTAGTAGCGGGTGTTGCTCCGCATGGCTGAGGTCTTAAGCGAGCCATGAGCGCCCCCGGGCGGGGAGCGGATGCAGCAGTAGGAGTGTCGCAGGCACTTGCTGTACTCCTTGTGCACCTGGGGGGTGAGGAGAACAGGCAGCTGGTCGCAGGCGCCCCCACTCAGGAGTCCAGAGACCAAGCTACAAACAGGCATCAGAAACTGTTCTGTCCCCCAGCAGCCAGCCAGGTAGACACTCTTTCCTTGCTCAGGCCCATCTTCCGTTCTTCACCTCCACCAGTTTCTTATCCATTCAATGACTCAACAGCTCTTTAATGCATATCCGTTATGTGTCAGGCACGGTTTAGGCTCCGGGGATAATCAGAACAAATCAGACATAAAGCCCTACCTTTCAGAGCTGCTATTTTAGTAGACAGAGACATAACATAGATGCAAACATCAGTACATAATGTAGGATGTCTATGGTGTTAGGTGCTGCGAAGGACCTATGGCTGGGGAGGGGGTTAGGCAGTGCTGGGGGGTGTGGGGTGGTGGTTTGCAGATTTCAAATCGATCAGGAGAGGCCTCACTGAGAAGCAGACATTTTGGCAAAGACTTGAGAGAAATAGACAGCAGGCCCTGTGATATCTGGGGAGGAGCAGGGAACAAGCCATGAGGACGGTCCATGTCTAGGTGTCTGAGAGAGGGCAGAGGAGGGCACTGCTGGAAGAAAGGGAACAGAGGGGGCTCTGGTTGGACCTTGCGTGCCTGGAGGTTCCTATAAGGATGTCACTGTCCCTGTGTGTCCAATGGGGGCTGCCAGTTTTAAGAGGAGGAAGGATACAGTCAAACTTGCAGGACTCTGATTGGTATCTCCATCCCCAACCTTAGCCTTACCCACCTCACTGTCTCCCGAGACTAACACTGACAGGGCCCCCCCACTGCCTTCAGGACCAAGCACACAAATGCCTTGGCTCCGTTTCCATGGCTTGAGTCCTGTATGCCCTCTCCACATTCCTCTGCTTCTGTTATCACCTTTCATTTACTTTCTTAAGATTTAGATTTTAACATGTTTTATTTAAAAAGGAAACTTTCTATCACCACAAAACTCATAGTTCGTCTCTTAACTATTTAAGTAGGAAACATCTGTCTGGATGGGGCCCAGGGTCATCTCCATTTTGCATGTCTGCTTGGTGCCCCACACCTGGGAAGAGGCCGTCACCATGTCCCAAATCCACCCTGCTTGCTTGCTCTTCCAGTCCTCTATCCTGCTCTTTTCCAGATCCTTCTTCACCCCTGGCTAAATCCTCCCAGACGCTGAGCCCATGCTCCCCTTGCAGCAGACACAGGTCCCTACAGAAGGCAGGCTACCTGCGCCTCCTCCCTGACCTCACCTTCTTCTGTAAGGCGCAGTGAAAGACGAAGATGAAGACCCCCTGGAAGGCGTTGAAGGTGGTAAAGAGATAGGCCATGACTACCGACTCCTTATTGATGAAGAGGAGGCCGAAAGCCCAGGTGAGGCCCAGCAGGAAGAGCAGCGCGATGGCCCCCAGGGCCCAGGATCTGGGGTGGGTGGGGAGAGAAGACAGGGACATCAAAGACCCGCTAGTGGTGATGCTTCCCCTGTTGGCCTCCTTGGGCCTGGACGCTCTCTGCAAAGACCCACCTAAGTGAGTAGGCCTCAGGATAACGGCCTGCCCAGCGACACTTCCACCTAGCCTGGGCCTGAGGGGCAAGCAGAAGTCGGGGGTCGGGGTTTGTGAATGGTCAGTCATTCCCTGCATCTTTCATCCTTTTGGCCCTATTTCTAGGCCCTTAAAGTATCTTTTGCTGCCTATTTCTCTTTAACTTGCCCTGAAATAGACTCACTTTTGAATTCAGTCTTGCCCTAAGCAGTTATTCAGTTATGTCCCCCAAACCACAGGTTGAATGTGCTAATGCCAGGTTTTTTAATACACATCAGGTAGATATATAACGAGCACAATAAAACACCATCTTTGTCCTTAAATCACACTGTGTGACAATAGAGTGACAGCACTACATTTTACAAAGTCCTGGGAGAGGCCGGGCCAGTGTGGAGTTTTTGTGGCAGGGGTGCAGGGCGGGGGTGCTCACTTAATGTTGTCTAGGCGACTCGAGTCAGGCTTGAGCACAGATGAGCTCCGGATCATCTTGTGCAGGGTCACCATGAGGAACACCAGGTTCACCTGGGGGTAGGACAAGGGGAGGGGCTGTGCTGGGGTTGCTTTGCCTGTGGTGTGAGTTCCTGGCCAAGTCTCAGCCTGGACCTCCTTCTTCCGGGCCTCTTCTACAGGAATACCTGCCCCAGGTGCTCACTGACTGGTATAACTGTCGGATAACAGGGTTCCCACTACTGGAAAGATGGGGCCCACAGCCTGCCATAGAGCAGGGGCTCAAATTCCAGCTCCTAGATGGGTGAACCTCAGTGCTGGAGCTCTACAGACCCGCTGTGCTCTCATCCTCTTAGTTGGCTGTTCAGTTCCCATGGTTTTCAAGGGCTTGGGGAGACTGGGATTGCTCGGGGACAAGGCTAGCCTGGATAAAGGATGGAGACGCAGTACTGGGTACCACCTTCCAGCTTACCACAATAACAAAGGAGACGGGCCCAATGAAGCTCCAGATGAAATAATTATCCACTCGGAGCCAGCAACTATAAAGGAAGCAGGGCCAGGTAGATAGAGGCAGAGGGGGGCCCCTCCCTCTGACCCCAGGAGCCCAGTGCCCCAAGGGTCCTGCTGTTGAGCAGGGAACCAGGCAAGAGGAGAGATGGGGGCGGGGGGAGGCACTCACGCCTTCTCGGTGCCATAGCTGCGGTAGTCAATGGCAGCTGCGATGCCTACCACCAGGGCTGGGAAGCAGTAGCCACCTAGGTAGTAGTACTTGGTGCGGGAGTACTCGCTCTCAAACACCTCTACCAGCAGCAGATAGAGGTGCACACCCTCCAGGCACAGCCAGGAGAAGGCAGCCAGGAAAAAGTAGTGCAGCAGGCCAGCGAAGATGGGGCAGGCAATCTGGGGGGCGAGGGCACCACAAATGAGGGGCTGCCCAGCCAGGTGGCCTCTCCTGCCTTCCCCCACCCCCTACCTTGTGCCTGGCCCACCTCATACTGAGTCTTGTCTATGCCAACCAGGAAGAGCAGCTCAGCCAGGAAGAGGTTGATGCACAGGTTCTTGTGGATGGTATTGCGGTCAGTCTGCAGTCCCCGCAGGAAGCAGAAGGTGGAGATGCAGATGGCCAAGCAGACCAGGGAGATCACGATGCCTACCCAGGTGATGACTGACAGCAGCAGCTCGTTGATGCGGCCCTGGTACTGGGGGACAGCAGAGGGTACACTCAGCACCCCTGCCCACAGCCGGGCTCACCCTGGGCTCAGCTAAGTGCCAGCTGGGGGCAAGGCTGCAGGCCACAAGTACTGCTGGTGCAGCCCCCACCCCCCTGGCCTACTGCCCCCGGCCAACTTGCTGGCCCCCACCACTCTGCAGGTGGCCCGCTCACTTCCTCATGCTCTGGAAGGCGTGTGGAGAGATGACAAAGGTGACACCAACTTGCTTCTCCAGTGGGCCTTGGGAGAAGGTGGGACTATGACCAGAGAGAACCAGATGTGTGGCCTCATCCCCTGGGCAAGACTGGTAGCCCCCCATGCCCATGAAGCTGGTCTTCCCTGGCACTGCCCATGCTTCACTCTATGATGCCATGCAAAGCTGGGCCAGAGAGTGGGCCCGCCAGGAGAGCGCAGCGGAGCCGCCAGCCAGCTTACGATCTCACGGTGAGCCATGAGCACGGCAAAGTTGGTGAGGTGGCTGCAGGCACATGTAGTGTGGGTCTTGTTGGACTCCACCAGGCGGCAGCCTTGGGGTCGAACAGTAGCTCACCATTGGAGCGCTCCCAGTAGTTCAGAAGGAGCAGTTACCATTGAAGGTGGTTCTTGGCCTGTTGTGTGGTGGTGGCCCGGGGAGTCAAATCTGGGGAGTCCCTCTCCAGCCCTCACACCCAGCTACAGGGATAGCAGCAAGCATGGAGAAGTGCTTGGAGCTCCAGGTGGCAGTTTGATATCTCTGGGGACAAATGACCTAAGCAGTTGAGGTGGGGGCTGCGAGGGGGTGCATGGCCTAGGGAGGGGTGCAAACTTGCTCCTGGGTGGATGAGCAGGCAGTGGGAGGATATGCAGCATGGGAACACAAAAGATGCTGGGACCCTCATGGAGGGTGGGGATGCCTCAGCTCACCTCCAGGTGGGCCACAGTAAAGATGACAGGGTCCATGAGGAAGACACGACTGGACTCCTTATTGATGGAGGCTGCAATGACCTGTGAGTTCACCACCAGGGAGGTGCCCCCTGGGCTGCCCGCGCCCGTTTCGCTCGCCAGCTTCACTGTGGCGTTCTCAGTGGACAGGAAAAGACCCAGGTTGTTGTAGAGGATGAAGACAACTTTGACCACCCCTGGGGAGGACAGGTGTAGTGGGGTTTGCCATCAGCCCTTGGCTGGTGCAGCTGCAGCCACTGGGACCTGTCTTTACCAGGCCGAAGCCCACGCGAGTGGGGCTCAGAGAACCCTGCCCTGGGACAACTGCTCGGTTGCAGGCAGCGCCAAACAACAGGGCAGCAGGCCAGAACACACAGCAGCTGGGTCCCTGGGCACCTCTCACTTGTGGTGTGATCTCGAGCAAATCCCTAACCTTCCTGTGCCTTAGTCTCAAATGGGACAGTCCTCCCTGAGCTCTGAGTATCAACTGCTGCTGCACCGAAGTGAGCCCTGTAGACTGAAGTGTCCTGGCTCTACGGGGCTTTGGGAGGACCCCGTGCGTTATATTCCCCCAGCTTGAGCAGAGGACTTCAGGGAGCCACAAGGAAGGAGAAAAGAAGGGGCACTGACCATTGCGGCTGTTCTGCTTGATGGTGTTGGCTGACAGCTGGATGGAGTTTTCGCTCGGGTACTCCTGGGGGAACACCAGCTCCTGCACTTGGCCCTCTGTGTTCAGAACCGTGACCTCCAAGACTGTGGGACAGAGGATGGCAGGGCATACGAGATTGGAATCTGTGCCCAGTCCAGGGGCCCAAGGTCAAGGGCCAGGGTGGTCTCTGGAACAGGTGGGCCCCACAGTTCAAGATTTGCATTTGAACTTGCCTCGGTGAGACTATAGCACTCACCCACATTCTGTTTAGCAGCCAAAAAGCGGGCCGGCTCCCTGACATTGTCAGCCAGCAGGAAGGCACCCTCCTCCAGTACGTCCAGGAGCATGGTGGCTGTATGCACCTGCTCTGTGGCATTCATGTCCTTCCAGGACTCAAGAGCCTCTGGCCGCAGTAGGTTGTCCACTGTCTCCACCACAGCCTAAATGAGCAGGGAGAGGGGTTGGGGGGAGGGGAAAGGTTGGGGGTGGCGCCATGAGTCGCCTCACATCCTCCAGTTCCTCAGGATGGTCTCTGTATCCCCTCCACTCAATCTCCATCCCCCCAGTGCCTCCTGGGGCCTGCCCCACCCCCCTCAGACAGTAGAAGCCCTCTGGGCCTCACCTTAATGTAGTCCTTGCAGGTTCTCTCCCGCTTGTGCATCTAAGGAAAGGGATGGAGGCACTGTCAGGCCTGGCCTCCTGCCCTACTCATTCCAACACTCACTCTTCTGTGTCTGCCACCGACCTGGTGCTGGGCCATGAGTAAGAGTTGTTCCTAAGGGATCCCCCAACCCCCAGGACCCTCCAAGGCATCCCAGGAGGGAGACCAACAGGCCTGGATTCTGTCCTTCCTTCCTCTGACCATCATGGGTGGCAGCCCAGCTCTTAGGTACTAGGCCAGAACCTTCCTGAGGCTCCAGGACAGAGCCCACCATTGGCCCTGCTGCCAGGCCCCACCTTGTTATAGTTCTTGCCAGCCGACTCGCGCTCAATGGGCCGCAGAGCCTGCAGCTGGGCATCCAGGATGTCCAGCAGCTGTTCCATCAGCTTCACGGAGGAAGACACGTCTCCCGCATAAATGGAGCCCCGGGTGTGGCGGGCCAGCTCACTTGCAATGTTGGCTGCATTCTCCCCGCTCTTGATCTGAATGAGGCAGAAGTGGGGGACCCAGCTCTGTTAGGGATCATCTTGCTTCCCCATGGTCCCTTTGCACATGCCCGGCCTGCTCAGCCCTTCTCATTGCTCTCTGCGGCCCCTTCTCCCTGGTTGCCCTCTCCCCTACTCTGTACGCTAGAGAGTGGACCCACATTCCTGCCTCCCAGACCTGCCGCCCATTTGTCTCCCTCTGTGTCCCACTGCACCCTGCACCCAGCCACCCAGAGCCCAGTGTGCACAGGTGCCTGAGAGGAGCAGCTGCTACTGGTACCTTCTGGGCCACCTGGTTGACCCAGGGGGAGGTGCAGTTGCTGAGGTCAGGGCCCCGGGGGTTCCAGAGCCCCAGGGCTGGTAGACACTGGAAGGAGGCAATTCCTGCAGGGACAGACAGACAGGACAGAGAAGGGAGCCACAAGGAAGGAGAAAAGGGGCCAAAGCAGGGGGAAAGGAGATGACAGAGGGCAAGTAGGTGAGGGGAACATGGAAGACCAGACATGAAGCAGGCCAGACAGTCAAGAGAGGTGTCACTCTGAGGTGACATAAGTCACCCCTGACTTCCCAAGCTCTCCCTCTTGGCTCCCCTTCCATCTTTGCCTACAGGAATAGAACCTTTTAGCAAAGCCCGTCTTGGAAGCCTCCTCTCCACGAAGCCTCTTCTGACCCTTCCCTCGGATCCCTGGAGCACATGGTCATGGCCCACCCCTCTGGCACTTCAACTGCCGTCTACCCTGCCATCAGCTGCTGCCAGGGCTGGTCCGCCTTAGCCTGAGACTGGCGCACACCCAAGTCACCTCTGTGGGCTCCCTGCAGGGTCTACCTAGTGCTTTTCATGCGGCAGGTGCTCAGTACTGCAGGAGGGGACAGGGTTTGGGGTGGGGGAGGGTACTGAGCTACTACTATGCCCTGGGAGCTCTGCTGGCGTCTGGGGACACAGCGGCAGATATCAGGTATGAGCCCTGCCATATAAAACCCATGCTCTGGCAGGGGAGATGGACAGGTAAGTGCACCTGTGCTGAGTGGTGGGCATGTCCTGTCTCTTCCCTGCCCAGACCAGCAGTAGCCACCCCACAAACCAGCCACAGTGGAAGTGACCAAGGCCTCTGCACTCACCTCGAGTCCCCTTGGGGCAGGGCCTCTCCACCAGCATGCCCTGCTGGGTGGCCGGCCACTGGACCCGCCGCACCTCTCGCGGTTCACAGAAGAGCTCTGGAGACACGTGCAGATTAGGGGCTGGGGGCCGCCGGGTACTGGGGGCTGGGGCTGTGGCTGGAGGCAGGTCAGGTCCCAGCTGGTTGATGGCACCCACCGGGTGTGTGGTGAGGGGTGCCCGGCGGAGTGGGGTGGTGGCTGCAGGTGAGGCCGTGCTGGTGAGGGGTGTGGGCCGGACTGTGGTGGTCGTGCTGAGGGGCGGGGAAGTGGCTGGGCCTGGAATGGAGAGGAGACAGGAGACAGAGTCACCCCCATGTTCGGGGCCTTGCCACAGCATGCCTGGGTACTTGGATCCCTGGCATCTTAGCATCTTTCTTGCCAATGAAGTAGAAAGGTGTCCTGGTCCCCACTGGGTCTGGAAGGGGATCTCCCCTGGCATTCTCTCCGCCCACAGAGATCCCTCACTTCTGTAGGACCATGTAAAGCAGCCAAAGGGGTTAAGAATTCACTCCTGTGCACCCAGAGGTCTGAAAGAACAACTGGAGAGGACAGGCCATGAAGGTAGGGAACATGGCCACCTCCCATCCTCGGTTACTCTCTCTGGTCTGTAACCTGGCCAGGTCCCTTCCCTCGGGTGGGAGGCCCTCAGTTTCCCATAATGCAAAGGGAGCTGGATGAGATTAGGCTCCCTGGACCCCTGGGGCTGCTCAGAGATGGCTCAGGGCAGCTGAGGGGGCAAATGAGACTACAGAGAGGCCCCACCCCATCAACAGCAGCAGCAGCAGCTCAGCCTCGTTCTGTGTTTGGGCTTCCACCTAAGATTTTGGTTGATAAGGGTTCCATGGCTAAAAGTGCACAGGCCACTGGGAGAGGCAGTGCACTCGGGGGTTAGGTGCCCAGAGTTCTGAGTCCAAATCCTCCAAGTACATGAACTAATCCCCACCCCCCAGGGCTTAGTGTCCTCATCTGTAAACCGGGGGCAGTGACAATCCCTGTGACTATGGGGTTAGATGAATTAAATGCTTAGGACATGAGCTGTGTGACTCCATTCAAGGTCTCCCCCAACCCACCTCCAGGTCCCCAAGAACTCCAAGTGTGCCCCCCACCCTGGGACTGGGGGTGAGGCCTGGGGCAGCGAACAGGAGCCATCCTCACCGGCACTGGGGTCCGGAGGTCCAAACTCCAGGCTATAGCGCACCACGAAGTAGTTGTTCCAGACGTACAGCTGGTTGTCGCGCGGGTTGTAGTCCACAGAGGAGACGAACTGGTAGGGATTGGGGAAGGCCAGGCTGACCGGCTCCTCGCGGTTAGCATTGGTGTTGAAGGCGTAGTCCACGCGGTTGCCAGCTGCCTCACTGTCGTCATCCACATAGACCGAGCGCAGCACGTAGAGGACACCGCACACCATGAAGGCGTTGGACGCTGAGCGCTTGTCGTATCCTGTTTCCCACGTGCCCTCGAAGCGCAGCGTATAGGGGTTGAGCTGGCTCACCACCAGCCGCCCATTGTTGCCCTCAGTGGCATAGATGACCCACAGCCCATTCTCGTCCACGGCCAGATCGATGTCAGTCTTGCCTCCCCAGCGGTAGGGCGAGGTGTCATGGTAGTTGGCCGTGTTGATGACGGTCTCCCCGCTCTTGATGCGTGTGCGCAGGTCGTACTTGACAATGTTGCGTGTGCGCTCCTTGTTGTAGAAGACAGCGCCGTCGTAGACCACAAAGCCAGTGCCGTCCACGCGGTTGGGCAGGCGGTAGGTGGTGGTGTGGCGCGCTGCCACGTAGTCCTCCCAGGAGGCATACTCGGTCAACGTGTCCGTGCGGTAGGGGATCCAGGGCATGACGTAGATGCGGTCCCCCGCCTGCAGTGGATCCTTGCACCATGCACCGGACTGGTGCTCTGACTCGTGCGTGGAGGTGGGCTCCAGCACCTTCTGCAGGGTCCCTGGGCACACGAAGACTGGGCAGGGTGGGTGGGAGGAGAGGAAACAGGAGAGGAGGTGCAGGGATGAGGGAGGGGAGGAGAGAGAAAGGGGAAAGAGAGGTAGTTGGTCACAAGGCCAGGGGGGAGCCAGACTGTCCCCTCCTGCTGCTGCAGTCACGGTTGCTTGGTAGGGCTGGTGATGGGAAGGGGGTTTCCGGGCTGGGATCCCTGCCCGCCCAGCTGCCCCTCTCCCTGGAGATGTCAACCCTGGAGGCCATTAAGAGCAGGGTTAGTGGGAGAAGGTGGTACCCCTCTTTCCTTTTCTGGCTGCTAGAGACCCCACAGGCTGGGGATAAGGGGTTTGGCAAGAGCTCTCCCAGAGACTTTCTCGTGTGCCTTAAGCCTGGCGGAAAGACCTCACTGCAGCTGCTGCCTGGCAGCTTTCCAGTTCCAGGGACTCAGTGCCCTGCCTCTTGGCCATCATGTCCACCCCCCACGGAAGAGCTAGAGTGGAGGGTCCCATCCTTCACCCACACAAGGAAAGATTTTTTTTACTCCCCTTTCTTCCGCCTGCAAAAATTGCAAGGTAGTGATGTTTCTGTACCCACTGTGGGTGTCAGGAGCATCCCCCCATTCCAGGGAAGGGGAAGCACCCAAGGTTCCTGATGCAGCCTGTGCCCGCCCCCAGTACCCACACAATCAGGAAGGGTTTTTGGAAAAGTCCAGCCTCTCCCCTACGGTGCCCAGCCCTGCCCCCAGCCGGCAGGGTCTCTCATGGGGTTTGTTCAGCAGCAGACACTGACACTGGTGCACAGGGAGGGGGGTGGGACATGGGGAGGGAGGGGACTCCCCAGGAGAGTTGGGGAGGGGGAAGGAAAGCTGTGTGGAGGGAAGAGAGACAAGGTGGGGCCCTCAGCAGAGGTCCTGGCTCCAAGGGAGGCACGCTGGAGACCACCTGGGAAGAAAGGTTAGTGCTGGCAGAGGAGAGAGGGGGTGAGCAGAGAATTCACTCCAAGGCCCAGGCCCGACTGAGGGTCCCTCAGGGGGGCACTCCCAGGTCCAGCTCAGAGTGGGCAAGGGAGGGAACCAAGTGCTAGGATAAAGACCCAGCCCACCCCAGCCAGGCCCCCCACCTCCCCTGCCCCGGACCCAGATTTACCTGCAACCATCCCCGGCTCGGGAGGAGGGACCAAGGCAGCGTTGATGTCAGAAAGGTGGGGGGCCCCGCCCCACCCCCCCATTCCCTGAAAAGGAGGAAAACCTCAACTGCATCTCGTTGGCCCCCACTGGCCTGCCCTCCCCTACCCCATCATGTCCCAGGGGTACCTACTCCTAGGCTCCCCCGCTGACCCAGTGGCGATCTGGACTCTCACGGTCAGCATGGCCAGACTCCCCTCCTCCTCCCAGAGTGATGACAGTCAGAGGCCCCTCCATCCAGGATGGCTGGGGCCTCCCTCTCTACTCCCTACTAGCAGAACCCACAGACCGGCCAGAGTGAGGGCTTGCAGTGAATTCTCTGCTTCTGCTTGGCTTGTCACCAAAGCAGATGGCCCCAAGGGAGACAGGAAGGGCTGGGACCTGGTCCTGGCTTGGGAGGCAGCCCAAGGGTCCCCAGGCACAAAGCAGCCAGGAGCATGCCCTGTTTTAGGAGAAGGGGCACCCAGGGCACAGAGGTGGGCAGGGACCAGAAGGGTCCTGGCTTGGGCCCTGGGGCTTCACCATCTCCCTGTTCCTGGTGCCCTGAGGTGTTGGCCTGTCCCTCCACCTGTTTCCTCTGTGCCAAGGTCTCCCCTCTCCCCAAGCCAGGGGGGCTCCTGCCAGCTGTGTGTGTGAGGGGGGCGGTGGGAGGTCTCAGAACCTGACCTGGTCAGAAGGGTGTGGAGGAGGAAAGTGTGGTTAGAGGTTACCCTGGGGAAGGGGGAGAAGATGAGAAAGGGCCTGGGGCCTTTGCCATCAAGGACCCCTCCCTAGCACCAAGCTCCCAACACCTCCTTTTCCCTCCCCGCCTCTTGAAGAGAAAAGATCCAGGGCTGCATATCCAAACCACCACCGGACCTGCAAGAAGAGTGTCTGGTGCTGGGTGGGAGAGACTCCAGGAAAGAGAGACTCAGAGTGGCAGGGTGTTTGGGGGCAGACCATGGGCTGGCTGCCCAGGCCGCTCTGAGATGGGGAGGGAGACAGCGGGGAGGGGAGCAGCTTGGAGGGACCCACTCCACCCCCCTCGAATGGGATGCTCCACAGACCACCGTAATTTCAAGACAAAAGCTCTATGAAAAGGTTTCTCACCCAGCCCTTCCCCTGCTGCCAGCCTCAGAGCTGTCAGTTTCCCAAAACTTTCAGGGGAGAAAGCAACCATCCCCAACTCCTGCCCTCCCCTCCGCAACAGACAGCCCTCTCCACCACAGAGTTCTCCTGCTCCCCCAGCTGAGGGTAAACCCCGGCAAGAAATTACGGTGCTCCTGGAAGGCCCCAGACCTGGCCTATCCTGTCCCCACCCCCTCTCCCTGGTCCTCTAACCACAACAGCCCAGAAGAAACCCTGACTGCAGCTTCGCAAGTGTTTCAGAACCAGAGAAAAATGCTCCCCCATCCCTCGATCCCCCCACCGCAAGGCCCGCCCCCACCCCCTTACCCCCACATTTGACAGGCTGCCCTCCCAGGGTTGAGGACAGTTCATACCCCTCCCCAGGGGTGGGCCCCCAACTGGTCGAGGTTGGGGGATCGGGGTGGGGGAGACTTGTGCTCTGTGCTCCAAAACAGCTCTGGGCCTTGGAAACACCAAACCAGAAGGAACTTAAGCCACCAGGAGCCTGAGGGATAGGATGAATCTGCTCTCCAAAAGGAAAACAAAGGTGTCCCCTCCGTCCCGCCTCCCCCAACGGGGCATAAGTTACCAAAGTTGGGGCAGGAAGAGAAGAGACGGTTCACCTGGTGCCCCCTACCCCACCCCCAGTCTGGAACCAGGAAAGGGAGTCCCCACCCACCCAGGATGCTTACAAACTTCTCCTGAAGGAGCAAAAGAAGTATGAGAGAAGGCCAGGTCCCCTAGCAAGGGCCAGGAACTAGGAAGGAGGGACAGGGAAAGACAGAGAGGCAAAGAGAGAGAGAGTGAGAGAGAGAGAGAGTGAGAGAGAGGAAGGTCCTGCCCGCGTACTCAGAGGAGCTTCCTCGGGTGTCTGGAGGGTGGAGTCACCCATGGCTGGACCAGGGCTGGCCCCACTGGGAGGGCACCTGGGGCGGGAGCTATCAACTGGACCCAGTGGGGGCGGGAGAAGAAGGGGCCGAGAGGGGAGGGCGGTCACATAAGTATGGCACAGGTAAAACAAAGTGTGAGTTAGGGGTTAGCATTGGTAACAGTGCGTTTACCTTTCTGCTCCACTTCTACTTTAAGCATCGGAAGAGAGAGAGAAAACAAATTGAAAAAAAAATGTGCAAGAAAAAAGAGAAAAAAAAAGAGATTAAATTGCTTTTGTTTCTTTTTTGGCAACATGTCCCCTTTTCCTTTCTTTCCTTACTCCTGGTTCCCCAACCCCAAATGTTGCATCAGCTCAGCCCCCGCCCCCCATGTCCCTTCCTCTGGGGTAGGGTGGGGCAAGAGGTCATGAGGGAGACAGTCACAGGGAGGGGAAAACACGCAGAACAGAGACCAAGAGAGACACGGAGGGAGGGGAGGACGGGTAGGCAGAGGACCATGCCTTCAGATGTGAGTGGGCACCCTCATGGGAGGGGGGAGTCCAGTTGGGAGGCGGGCTCTGGTTAGGGGGGCACCGGGGAGGGAGTGGGGGGACACTCTGGTCCCCTCTCGCCCTGTCTGCTGCCCGCCTGCCAGAACCAGGGGCCCAGGGAAGGAAGCTCAGTTCCTCCCGGGCCTGGGTGCCCAGAACCGAGAGAACAGGCTAAACTCCTTCCAGTCTGTGCTGGCCCCACCTGGGAGCCTCTGGGTCCCCCCAACCCTCACCACCCAGAAAGAGCCAACACAGAGAGGGTGGCAGAGTTGGACACAGAATGACGGAGAGGCAGACAAGCAGAGCCCCCTTGGGCCTCAGAGAGCTTGGTGGGGGGGGGGAGACAGAGGTCGAGAGGGAAGAGGCTGGGGTGGGTACACATCACACAGGACAGGACAGCAGGTGGCACAGACACGCTCCCCCGAGACTCAGTTTCTCTGCCCAGCAACCCCCCTGGGGGCCCCGGAGCCAGGAGCTCCACGCCACCCGCTGCCTGGTGGGCCGGCGGTACCTGGGGGAGGAAGGGGCATGGTTAGAGTGTGCACAGCTGCAAGGCAAATCCAGTGTTAGTTGGGCCTGTCCAATGTGTGTGTGGCGGGGACCCCACACACCCACTGCCCCAGCCCCATGGTAGCCCCCACACTCCGCCCCGCCCCCCGCCCCCCGCCGGCCTGCACCAGCACTGGGATCACCCCAGCCTCTGAAGCCTCAGGCTCGGTGCCCTGGCCCCTCAGGAACCTCTGCCAGGGCCTGGCTTTCCTAGCTCCTCTAGAGAAGCAGGGAGTTCCACAGGGGAGGGATGGCTGCATCCCCAGCGCCTCACCCAGGGCCTGGAACACAGGAGGTGCTCAGCAAACGTGTGGGGACGAGTGCCCGGCCTCCCTGTCTGGCTTCAATCCTCCTGTTCACCCAGCCCCCTTCCTCTGGGACCAGGAGCTAACAAGTCTGCATGTCTAGGACACACATGGCCCCACTGTGCCCCCACACAACCACTGTGTGTATGTCCTTTCTCCCCGAGTTCAGGCTAGCTCTCTCCCATCAGCCTGGGGGCCGCCCATCCCCTGGGCTGACCTGCCTACCTCCTGGCCTTTGTGGGTCATGCTCCTGCCCACCCTGGGGGTCGGCTCCAGGAGGTCTCCCCACCCCTTTCCTCCCAAGGCCCTCTAAGCTTTCCTCCTGCTTCTCTAACTGTGTGGCATCCACTGTGGACTCCACTTGGACCAACGGGTTTTTCTCTGCCCTGTATCCCATCTGCCTCAGGAGGAGCTGGGTGCATCATCAGTTGTTAGTTTCTTTTTGATTACCAACAGCAATAACAATAACTGGTAGTTACAGCGGAAACAGTGACTACCAAGTGCCCAGCACTCACTTGGTGCCAGGGACTGTGCTAGGCACTTCCTGGGCAGTCTTTTGAGAACCCTGTCTATAGATGGGGAAACTGAGGCTCGGTGAGGGGAAGCAACAAGGCTGAGGCCACATGCTGGCAAAAGCGGGTACCACTTCCTTCACATCTGTGACTCAGGGCAGGAGCTTTATCCACGTTCTCTCTTCCTGGCAGTGTCTCAGGAAGGGGTTTGGTCCCTTCCCCCATCACAGATGAGTACCCAGGGTCAGCCGGCTGGAAAGGGCACTCGGACCACTACTGAGCACATCCTGAGCCAGGCGTGGGCCTGGGCGCTGGGGGGTGAGGACTCGCCTCTGCCCCTGGGAGCAGGCTCTGAGGCAGGCCCTGGGCCGGCTGCTTCACACACGAGCTCCTGGACTCTCCCCTCCCCTGATGGCGGCCCAGAGAAATGAAGTCACTCGCTCAAGTTTCAGAGCCAGAAAAATTCAAGAGCCTGGCCGAGCTTCGGACCAGCCTGATTTCCTGTGTGCTAAGCTCCCACCTCCTGCCTGCCTTCCCCGCTCCCAGCCCCGGGGTGGGCAGTGTCCCCAGTGCTGTGGGAAGGCTTCAAGGAAGTCAGGCGTCCCCCTCAGGCGGTGGCTGGAGGCCTGGTCGCTGAAAGGAAAGGGTGAGGAGTAAAAGCAGAAAGTGATGGAAGCACGTAAGCGATCCTGTTCCCCGTGTAGATCATCACCTGCGAGGAGAAACCAAAGGTTGGGGAGAAGGCTGGAGTGGGAGGGGGAGAAGGCTGGAGTGGGAGGGGAGAGGAGGGACAGTCACAGGGCCCCTGTTCCCACCCCTGCCCCCCACACGCACATGCCCCCCACACGCACACACTCTGGTGGCCCTGCCTCCGCCCCCCTCTGCCTGGAGCCTACCTCCTGGCTCAGTGAAGCTGGGGGTTGGGAAGGAAAGGGGAGGTGGAGGGAGAGTGAGGAGGAGGAGGATGCTAAGGTGGGTGCTGAGGAGGAGAGACCCTGTCTTTGTCAGCTGCCCTTCACCAGGTGTAAGAAAGCCAGGCCTCTGGCTCCCCAGGCCCACCTGGGGGCCTCCCTCCATGCACCATGGCGGCACTTCCCTGGCAAACAGGAAGTGCTATCATGGTGATGGGCAAACCGACCAGGGGATGGGACTCTGGAAGACAAGACGCCCCAACCCTTCACACCGAATCCAACGCGAGGCCTCAGCAGTGGTCTGTCTCTCCGTGGACATCAAGTCCAGCTTCCAGGACGGGGAAAGGGCAGGAGGGGGCAGCGAGGGGTGAAGAGGAAGGAGAGGGAGTTCAGAGAGAAGTGTGGTGAGTGAGGGAAGGACAGGTGTGTGTGTGGTGGGGGGAGGGGGGACAGGAAGGGAAGGGATGAGAGAAGAGGGAGGCAGAGGGGTGACAGGGCAGTGGGGTTGAGGGAGATGTACGTGTGCCAAGCAGAGTGGGGTGTGGCCTAGGAGTGTGTAAAGGAGCCCGGGCACATGAAGAAGCAGGGCCAGGGGGCCCGGGTGACCAGGGCTGGAGAAGGTGCCGAGGAAAGGACAGTTTTTGGTGGTGGCTGGGGAAAAGGCGGGGGGCGAGGAGCTTAGGGTGTGGACAAGGCTGACTAGAAAAAGGGAGTGTGGGAGGGAGGGAACAGGTCCAACTGTCCCCCACGCACCTGGCCCCAACTTGGCCCCTTGTGCATGTGTGCATGTGCGTGTGTATGTGCATGTGCGTGTGTGTGCGTGTACGTGTATGTGCATGTGCATGTGTGTGGCGAGTCAAGGTGTCTCCTCCTCGCTCACTCTGGGTAGGGGAAGGGCCCGGGTTCGCATGAGGAACAAGAGGACTCACTGTAGGGGACACAGTCGTACTGCACCTCCAGGTACTTGTAGGTCCCAGGACAGGGGTCAGGAAAGGCGTCGGAGCCGGCAACCACCACGCACTGGGTGCGGTTATTACACCTGTGGAGGAAAGACAGAGATGGGAAGACAGGCCTAGAACTGGGGGCTCCAGGGCAAGGAGAAGAATGGGTACCCCCAAATTTGGAAGGAACCATGGAGACCAAAGCCTTTCGTGGATATTGTTTTCTGCTTCCTGCCAGCTCTCTCTTCCACTAGATAGGGTTTCTTCTACTCCCCGCCCCAGCATGGCATGAAGCTCAGGGCTGGGACGGGGCAGGGCCCCATAAACTGCTTGCCCAGCCACCCCTCATGGCTCCCATCCAGCACTGGTGCTATGGCTTCCTTGGCATTTTCCCTCAATTGACTGTACAGCCCCTCCTTTGTTCATGGAAGAGTTCAATGATTCTCTCTCATCATTGATGTTTCTCTCTCTCCCTCCCTCTCACCTTCCTCTGAAATTAATAAAAATATATTAAAAAGTAGTAATAAAAGATGTTTCTCTGCTGTCTGTCCCCACAGTCAGGGTCTCTGTTTCCTGGAGCAGCCCAGGTCTCCGCCAGCAGGACATCGACCTGATCGTGGGTATGCAGGAAGCAGTTTTGGGGGACTCCCTGACAGATATGGGGCAGGGGGGCGCCTGTGTCTTCTCTCTTCAGTCCTGCCCTTAACTAATGAGGATCTGCTCAACCCACCCACCTCAAAACCCTCCTTTAAAAACAGAACATTGGGGCCGGGCGCGCAGTGGTAGCGGGCCTTGAGTGGCAGGGGGTGGGGGTGGAGTAAAAAAAGAAAAAGAAGAAAAAAAACACAGAACATTGGCCTGGCCAGTGTGGCTCAGTGGTTGAACATTGACCTATGAACCAGGAGGTAACGGTTCTATTCCCGGCCAAGGCACATGCCCAGGTTGAAGGCTTGATCCCTAGTGTGGGACATGCAGGAGGCAGCCAATCAATCATTCTCTCTCATCATTGATGTTTCTGTCTCTTTCTGTCTTTCCCTCACCCTTCCTCTCTGAAATCAATAAAAATATATTAAAAATAAATAAATAAAAACAGACACTGGTGCCCTGGCCGGTTTGGCTCAGTGGATAGAGCGTCGGCCTGGGGATGGAGGGGTCCCGGGTTCGATTCCAGTCGAGGGCACATGCCTGGGTCGCAGGCTCGATCCCCACAAGGGGGTGTGCAGGAGGCGGCCAATCCATGATTCTCTCTCATCAATGATGTTTCTTTCTCCCTCCCTCTCTGAAATCAATAAAAATATATTAAAAACAACAACAACAAGAAAAACAGAACACTGGTCTTGCTTCAGTAGCACATATAATAAAATTGGAACGATACAGACATTAGCACGGCCCCTGTGCAAGGCTGACATGCAAATTCATGAGGCGTTCCATATTTTTAGACAATAGTGAAGTGAAGGCCTGGGGGGAGGGGTTTGTAGTAGAGGGTCAATGGATAAAAGGGGGACATCTGAAATACTTTCCACAATAAATAAAAACAGCACATTGGCCTCAGAAGGTTAAGGAGAATTACCTAATGCCCAGAAACTCCATCCCTTGTTATATTCCCAAAAGAACCGAAAGCAAGTGCTTAAACAACCCAAATATCATACCCGAATGGATGAACAAAATGTGGTCCATCCTTACAACAAAATAGTCCTCAGCTATAAAAAGGACTGAAGCGCTGACAGGCCACAATGTGTATGAACTTCAGAATATGCTGCATGAGAGAAGCCGGACACAAAAGGCCAAGATCACGACTCCACATGCACGAAACGTCCGGAATTGGAGATCCAGAGACAGAGAGGAGATCAGCTGCCAGGAGGAGGGGGATGGAGAGCGGCCGCTAATGGGTACAGGGTTTCCTCCTGGGGTGATGAAAATGTTCCGGAACTAGGTAGGGATGGTGGTTGCACAACTTGTAAACATACTAAATGCCACTAAATATTTCACTTCAATGGTGATTTTTATGTTATGTGAACTTCACTTCCATAAAGAGAAGAAAGGGAAAGCCGCTGGCCTTCTAGCGAGGGGGGATGAGATGGGTGTGGGAGGCACCAAACAGGGCAGCGGGTGCTGATGGTCTGGTCAGCTCCTCACTGTATTTATTCTGGGGTGTCTCTGTCAGAGCAGTGAGCTGTACCCTAACTGATACAAAGCACCTCCAGGTTGCCCTAGCCAGTTTGGGTCAGTGGATAGAGCACTGGCCTGCGGACTGAAGCGATTTCGGTCAAGGGCATGTACATAGGTTGCAGGCTCCTCCCCAGCCTGAGCCCTGGTTTTGGGGGCATGTGCAGGAGGCAACCAATCAATGTGTTTCTCTCACATCGATACTTCTCTCTGTCTTTCCCTCTCTCTTCCACTCTCTCTAAAAATCAATGGAAAAATATCCTTGGGTGAGGATTAAAATAAAATAAAATAAAAAATTTTAAAAAGCACCTCCAGATTTTTAAAAAATATGTATTTTTATTGATTTCAGAGAGGGAAGGAGAGGGAGAGAATCATTGATTGGCTGCTTCCTGGACGCCCCCTACTGGGGATCGAGCCTGAAACCTGGGCATGTGCCCTGGACCTGAATCGAACCCAGGACCTTTCAGTCCGCAGGCCGATGCTCTACCCACTGAGCCAAACCGGCTAGGGCTCACCTCCAGGTTTTAAGACAGTGGAGCAGCGGCCTCAGGACACTCGCAGCCCCGGTGACCATCCTGCTCGGTGTTCCCCCCTCTGGACCTGACAACCCAGTCGGAACTGGGCCAGTCGCTGTGCTGGGAGCTGGGAGACACCACTGACACCGGTGCCGGTGCTGAATGAACCCTCAGGGGGAATCTGGAGAGCAGGAGGGAGGAAGCAAGGGTTCCAAGGAGAAGGGGCACTGCCCAAGGGAAGACTGGGAGGCTGGACTGTCACCACCCATGCAGGGGAGACTGGGAGGGTTTATTAGAGGGGGATGGATGCTGGGGAGAGAAAGGGTGCGAGGGAGGGGATGAGGCAGCTCCAGCCTGGCCAACCAGGCTGAGCCATCTGCCCACACCTGTCCTGTGCCCCAAACTCTCAGGGCCGCTGCCCAATGACATATTCTAGAACCCTCTGCCAGCATTCAAGGAGCTGCTGGCCCTAGCGCTCCTTCCCTTTTCCAGTTCTATGCCCTGGGCTCGGAGTGAACCCTGCATTCTCACAGGCATTGGGCAAAAATTCAGTGAGTGCCTGCTGCTGCGGACACAGCAGTGACACAGTTCCCTGTCCCTGTGGGGCTGACAGCCCATGAGGGAAGACAGAAACCACATAAAGAGGCAAAATATCTGATGGAACTGCAGATGGAAGTCCAGGTAGGAGAGAAACAAAGCAGAGAAGGGGCGAGGAAGTGGGAGCTGTGGTTTTAGAGGGTGGTCGGGCAGCCCTGGAGGAGGATAGGTAGGTGGAAATTCCCTGAGTGAGCGGGAGGAGGGAGGAGGAGCCCAGCGGCTGCTGGAGAACAGCCAATGAGAAGGCCCACAGGAGGCCCTCAGGGGAAGATAGATGCCTGACGTGTGTGAGGAGCAGGTGGGTGAGAGGGGGAGCGCGGAGGAGGTGAGGGCTGGAGAGGAAAGGGCAGAGCGAGCAGGGCCTTGCAGGCAGAGGGAAGGCTTGGGCTTTTGTGAGCTGGGAATGAGGTAGGAGTCTGAGCAGAACAGGGATGTTTCCAGATTCAAGTGCTCACAGACGCCCTCTGGCTGCTGTGGAGGGAACAGGCTGTAGCAGGCAAGAGGGAGCAGGTAAGGGGCGGGGCATGGGCTTGGAAACAGTGGTCAAATGAGTATAATTGGAAGGAAGCACTGAGCAGCTCGAGGTGCGCTGGCTGTGGGTGTGAGAGGGGTTTCTGCAGCTTCGAACACTCAGTGCTCTCCCTGGCACACCCCCCTCACTCACAGTTGCACCCGGGCACTCACATTCTCTCTCTCACATGCACTTATCATCTGTATTCAGATGTCACCTCCTCAGGGAAGCCGGACCAGACTCGGTCCTGCCTCAGCTCCCAGGACACCTTCACCCTGTCCTGCCATTGCAAGCCCTCACCGCCTCCCTATAATCTTGGCGTGAGCTTCTGGAGGCATCAGGCTCATGAGTGTAGGTGTGTGGGAAGGGGTACAGACTGGTAGGGAGACAAGCTGGGGGCGGGGGGGAGGGCTGTTCACATGGCACCTGGAAGGTGCTCGGGAAACGTGTGGAAATCATAAAGGAAGACGGAGGGTGAACAGGGTGCACTGTCCCGGGGGTGCACAGAGGACAGGCACTGGATTCAGGGACTCCGAGAACTGCCGCCACCCTGCCTCTGAGAGCCCGGTGGGGCCCTCACCTCTGCGACATGATCTTGAAGGCATCCGGCAGGTAGCACTGCACGTTCTCCATCTGGAAAGGGTCAGCGTCGCAGATCTTGTCATCTGTGCGTCCGTAATTGGCGTTTTCCACCATGATGACATCACTGCCTGGGCACCGCAGCTCAATGGGGTAGCCTTCGCATGCCAGCTCCCGGCGCATCAGCCCGAATGGGAGTCCAGCCCGGCTCAGGCCTGTGGGAGGGGGCACATCATGCTCAGGGCACAGGGAAGGGAGTGAAGACCCGCAGAGGAGGCGCCATCTCCAGCTTAGCTGGACCTGGGACACAGGCACAGCTTTATTCATCTGTAAAATGGGCTTTTCAAGTCATTAACCTGCTCAAAAAGAATTTGGCCTTTGCCTCAGGACCTGGGAGGGCCCTCCAAGCCTTTTGAATGTTCAGCCTGATAAGAGTGTCTGTTTACCTGGGGGCCTTGGGCCATGCCAGATAGTCTGTGCTAACTGTTAGGGGTTGAATTGTGCTCCCTCCCCCAATTCCTATGCTGAAGTCCTAACCCATAGGACCTCAGAATGTAACCAAATTTGGAGACAGGGTCTTTACAGAGATAACCAAGTTAAAAGGAGGCAATAAAGATGGGCACTAATCTATATATATAAAAGCCTACTATGCAAAGTGTCCCCTAGGGCAGTGGTCGGCAAACTCATTAGTCAACAGAGCCAAATATCAACAGTACAACGATTGAAATTTCTTTTGAGAGCCAACTTTTTTAAACTTACACTATATAGGTAGGTACACTGTTATTAACTTAATTAGGGTGCTCCTAAGGCTTAGGAAGAGCCACACTCAAGGGGCCAAGCCGCAGTTTGCCGACCACTGCGGGACTTCCATTGCTTGCTATGACATGCGCTGACCACCAGGGGGCGGCACCGGAACGAAGGAAGGCCAGGCCTAGGGACCCTACCTGTGCATGAATTTCATCCAATAAAAATAGAGGGAATTTGGACACAGACACACCAGAGGGAAGACCATGTGGGGACAGAGGGAGGAGATGGCCATCTACAAGCCAAGGACAGGGGCCTGGAACAAATCTTTCCCTTGCAGCCCTTAGAAGGAACTAACCCTGCCAACGCCTTGATTTTGGACTTCCAGCCCCTAGTTCTGTGAGGAAATAATTTTCTGTTGTGTAAGCGCCCTCTCATCTGTGGTACT